GAAATTTTGGCATAATCTTGAACCTAAGTGTTTGATATTCAAATTTCGCTTTCTGGGCCAAAACTATTCGAATTTCCTCACTAACGTTGTTACGACTGAATCGAGTTTTCAATTCTCTATTCAACGATGCCAAAACGAATTCTGTGGCTCGAATGGTTCTTCAGAAACTTCGAATAAAGGCCATTTAGTTATTTCTAGAATGATGTAAAAACAAGCGTTCTTGCTCATTTTGCTTCCGAGAAACATGCAAAACGGGACGGAAAAGATGAAATTTTGCAATAATCTTGCGCCACCCTTGCACAAAACCGCGATCATTTTTCTAATTTCATAGATAACAGAAGACTGTATTTTTTACGAACAGTAATTTTGTAATGGTTTTTATATTTCAATTAAAACAACTTTTTTTCGAAATCAATCAATGTTTAAAGTCAATCTTCCGTTTGAAATATAAAACCAATTCATTGATTGCAAATCCAAAAAAAACGAGTTCGTGTTTTATGCGGGTTTTTAGTAAAGTTTGTGTGCTTTGTAAAAGGTAAGTTTGCATATTTTCATGAAAATATTAATCAGTCCTTAGTACCTAATATAGTAAGATTCCCCAATGAATTAAATTATGAATGGTTTTTCTTATCCTTTACCGGCTTTGACTCTGATGTTTCCTGTGTAGAACCTGTGTACAGATGGAACAATTTGTCCTAATTGTAAAATTTAGGCTGTAAATCAAAACAACATTGTCAACATTTTTTAAATCGCGCAAAACTTCTCGAAAGATCAACAATTGCTATGCCAAAAATACGGTATCAAATGGACTCAAATTCGCACCACAAGTCAATAGAAACTCTATCTAAGAATAGCTGGTACATAGATTTCTCTACTTTGAATGGTTTTTTAGATGCGACTTTTAGAAGAGCATCGAAAAAAATCGGGCAAAAACCTTCCAAAGATTCCCATGAAAAGTCAACCGAAACTTCCTCTACAGATTGGTGACATTCAGACTCTGCCGTCTTAAATGGTCCCTCTAAAATGGGATTTCAGATGAAAAAACCGCCCAAAACTTTACAAATATCAATCATTTCTTATGATGGAACCGCTTCTTTTAATGTAACTAATTTCATTTTTTTGCTTTTTGCTCGTTCCATTCTTTTACTGCCTTGAATGGTTCTTCAGGCGCGAGCTTCAGAAGAGCATCGAAAACAAATTAAAATGCGCCAAACCTTTCCAAGGATCAACAATTGCTCCCGACGGACACCACTTGATCAAATGGAACCAAATTCAGCAGAAAAGTCAACCGAAACTTCTACAGATTGGTGATATTCAACTTTCCCCGTCTTAATGTTTTCCCAAAAATTTGCTTCAGAAGAGCACAGCGGAAACAATAGAAAATCGGACAAAAATTTTGCCAGTTTGCTTGCAAAACTTTGCCACAAAAAGAAAGTATTGATTTGAATCAATCAATCAAATCAAAATCAAATCAATTGAAACTTCCTCTATTGATTTCTGACACCCAGATTCCTCGGCCTGGGTAACTCAGTGAATTTTTAGTAGCTGGCGCAATGCTGCGTAAATGGTTTGGTGCGCCAACCCAACGTACCGACGCAGTAACTCTGTTTCGTTGCCGGGAAAATGTTGATGACTTTTTCTTACTTGTTTTTAGATTTATTGTAAGAGCTATTTATTAATAATATTTTAAAAATGTTTTAAAAATTTCAGAATTTTTTTGCCAAGTTACTCATTCTCCTACATAGTCAATTTTCTAAAGTTTCACTTAAGAATGTTGACAATCTTAGGGTAAATCCCTTTCCAGCGTCGAATTTGGAAGAAAAATCAAATAATTTTCTATCAAAAAGCGAACAGAATAAGCGAAAGTTTATAACAGATTACTTGGAAATCTCGTCATCTCCATACCTCTGTAGTTTTTTTTTAGATGTGGGTTTTTAGCTTTGACTGATTTTTTTGCTTTACTTTTTATTCAAAAGCGCTCTATTTTGCAGTTTCACTTAAAAATTAAAATAAAAAAAAATTACAAAGACGTTTTTCAGCGTCGAGATCGGGACAAAAACGAACATAAATTCCTCCCGTTTTCCCCGAAAACCGTTAAGGTTTTCTCCAAAAGCGATCACAAAACTAAGAGTTTTTAATCGAAAACGCAAAAAAAACATTTTTTTCTGATGATTTTCTTGTTTATGACAATAATCGGGTTATTTCAGCGAAAAATTACAAAATTAATTTGTCAAAAATGACAAAAATAATTAATCATTCATCGATTTGCAGGAAACTTTAGAAAACTTATTTTAGCTTTGAATTTGACACAAATCCAAATAACGTTATTCAGTTTTTTAGGTTTATCTTGAAAAGCAAAAGTTTACAAAAAATTATTTGAAAATTTCGCCGCCCATCGCCTAGTTCCTTTAAATTTTCAGGTCATTTCAGTTTTAACAAAGTTTCTATTAAGCAATTCTTTCTATGCAAAAATAGCATTATTCTTTAATTTTACTTAAAATACTGACAATCTTCAGGTATTTTCTGTGAAAAATTGTTCGTCATTCGCCTCCTCAAGCGCTTTGCAAAATTTTTTGTAAAACTTAACTGGGAATTATGGACAAAGCCCTATTAATTATTTCTGGGTCTTTTTCCAAAAATATTTCGCCGAACTGAAAAAGCAAAAGTGTATAATCATTTATTTGGAAAACTCTTGGAAGCTGGGGTTTTTCACTTTTAGGTCAATATGCACACTGCCTCACACAAAACCGGGTTTTTCCTAACGTTTTACTGTAAAATATTGGCAAACTGAATCTTTTAATGCAAAAAAATTAAGTGATCAATTTTACAAGAAAACTCGTCGACTTTCTTTGGACTCAGTTCTGTTGCTAGGAAAATCGAGATAACTTTTTTAGTTGTTTGAACAAAGTAGTAAAACGTGACTCGTGACTCGACTAGTGAAAAAATGTTGATGACCTTTTTTTAGATGTAAAAATTTCAGTCTCGGGTCTCGTAAAGCTTTAATAAATTACTGGTAACTCATTAACCGATGAGTTATAACTAGTTAACGCAGACAGCGGCAACAACTCAATAGCGCAACTCAACACGTTGTTACCCAGGCCTACTTAAATGGTTCTTCAGATACGAGCTTGAGAAGAGCAATACATTGATTGCTTATGGTTGCATAACACTAACCAAAACGTTCGAAACAGTGAATTAGTTGCGTATTTTGCATTATTTACACTTATAAGTTTTAATTCTGAATCAGGTATGAATCCTCAATTATTTCTGGTTTTTCAGGTTTCAAAAGTCTCCCTTAAGATAAGCACACGTTCCAAATACACGCCCTGAAGCCGTTATTATAATTCGTAAAACCATCTTCCTCATTCCTTATAAGGCGAGTAATAAACCAGAACGTTTTTGCCTAAATATGTGTATAATCTTTATGTAATATCCACGTATAAGAAAAGTGAAAATAATTAGAAATCGTTAGCGCAAAACATTGGAAGAAAAACGTACATGCATATTGTGTTACTGAAACTGCGGTTGGAGCACAATGAATAAAAACAATGGCAGTTTTTGCCGCAAAATAATTCGTTTAATGAAATGTAAAATGGCATTAAATTAAAAACGGAAAAAATACACGTCAATCTTATCGCCGCTAAGCGAAATTCTGTATACCTTTCACCTTTTGGTCGGCCGAAGAACAGTGCAGTATGTTCCCAGAAGTTTGACCCAGTAACATTATGGTTTCGTGCGGCGGATTTGAATTGAATAAATCTGAAATCGTAAATCTTTGGCACAATAAAAAATTGTAGTTAAGCCGACAAAATGATCCGTCGAAGACGCCTGAAATTGGAGTGGTTCCTACTGATTCTACTTGCGGTATTCGTAAGTGGCTCGATCCTATTCAAAATCAAGTGCAACACTGACTGCAACAGACCATCAATGATCGATTATAAATTGCCGAAAAAATCCTTGCTCAGCGTCACCAACGTGGGCAACAGCACAGAATCACTCAGACACCGAATAACATCCAGAAAACCGATCAGAAAACATGTTACCAAATCGATGGCAGAGCTGGGAAAAATGGATGCAGTCAACAAACATTTCTTGTTCCTGAATTCCGTACCGAAAAGCGGTTCGGAGATATTGATATTTTTAGTCGAAAAAATACAGGGCGTCAATAACTTTAAGCACATCCGGCTGAAGGGAGGAAATAAAAGGCGACTCACTAAAGCGCAACAGGTAAGAACGCATGATTTCATCCAAACCATGGTATTACGAGCAGCATGTATAATCTCGGTATTAAAAACTTGTTGATAACCATGAGATCGAAGATCGCGTTTTATAGAAAAGCATCTTTGACCGTGAAATCCCAAGCGAGTTATTTATATTCATTAATGCCGCTCATTACTTGCGTTCAAGATAACATGGGATTAATGAAGAACACGATAAAATACACTAAAGCGCGCTAACTGAATGGTTTTGCAGCAAATTTCAAAGATCACTTGGATTTGCGAGGAAAACAGTTTTAATTGCAAAATCTTCAAAAAGCTTGTGCTTTACCCAACAAAGCGCCTACACTACTTTCAGCTTCATTCCATCAGCGAAAGTCTTTCTTTATGTGTCATTTAAATATTGCGCCATCCGGATGCAACTATCTTCTTTAATAAATAAACCGATACAATGGACAAATCTGGTTCGGCTTTTGAAAAATGTATTATGCAGGCTCCCTATTTTTAACTGCTGTTTTTCTCCTAAGGAAGAAGTAGTCGATGAAATCTACGATATACGAAGGAATTTGGCAATTCCATTAAGCTTTGATAGAAATGTGTATTTTATCAACTTTACCTCTTTCGACAAGCAATTGCCCACTTACATTAACCTTATTAGGCACCCGGTAGCGAAAGTAATGGCTAGGTAAGTACCAGATATTGCATGGAAAATTGCCGCAAATAAATAACCCAATTAGATTAAGTCAGTGATGGTAATATGTAAAATATACATTCTGAGCAGGAGTACAAGTAATTTTGAACATATTTTCTTAATATACCATTATCCCAGAAAAACTGTGTTTCCCGGTCAAGAAGGTGCAAACATTTTCAATTAAAAAACCCAAACACCCTGTATATATTCAACTAGAAAGTCTAATTAATTTATCAATAATTGTTTTTTAAACGCGTGTTTAAAGTGCTTGTTCAGAAGATCCATAGAGTATGGATAGTAAGAGTAAATCCATTCCATCCATATCCAATGAACTTTTTAAATTTGGGACTTTCCTGCTGAAATAATCGATCATAAAAAAATAAGGTGTTAAGAGGCCTGATGAAACAACAAAGGTTGTTACTTTCTTTAATTCAAAAGCATGAGCTGGACAAAAGAACGCCACTAAAAAATCAACAACTAAAATTAAAACTTTTATGTTTAGGCTCCTTTTAAAAACGCAAACAAAAAAAACATTTTTCTTTCGGTTATTTTAAAAATCGATTTTTTTCGTTAGAAACTCGCAATTAAAAAGCGGTTTTTTTTAGAAAAAGCGCTTTTAAAAACGAGATTATTCTATACCATCATGAAACTTTTTTGGAAATTCAGTGCTTTCAATCATTCGCAGCTAATCAGTAAATTAATTCGATTCCAGAGCGATTTTAAAGAAAACTGGAAAATACGATAGCTACTTTATAAGGTGTCTGAGCGATAGTAAGAAAAATTGCAATTTCAAAAATGGACGACCTTACGATCTTACTATTCCCTACTTTTGTGGTCACGACCCCAGATGCATGTAAGTATTTCATTAAAAAACAACTAGCTTTTCTAGCTAGTTGAAAATCGGGACAATATAAACCCCAAACATCCCTCGAAAGTTCTAAACTCACGAGAATTTTCCCAAAGTTTTGAACTTGTCAAACTAACGCATAACTAGCAATGCAGTTGGGCAAAAAATTGTAACTCCTAAACTAGTTGAGAGCAGTAAATTGAAGTTTTGGCACGGTCAAGAGGAAGGTTTCATCCAAAACTGGTGAAACTTTCATTAACAGTCGAACCTTGGTTAATAAAATTGATAAAGTAAATTATTCAAACCAGGTTATTAAACAACCAATGGGCTTTGGAAACCGCAAAAAAGAACGTTGAAAGGTATTACCAAGTGGTTGGAGTTCTGGAAGAACTCGACACCACTTTAGACATTCTGGAGGAGGAAATTCCGCAATTTTTTGACGGTGCTAAAAAAACTTATCAGGCAAATTTGCTGGGTAATCACAAGTTTTTATCCACTTGAGCTTTTTCGTTTACAAGTACTTTCAGATATTTACAAACACAAGAAAGACCCAGATGTACCCAAAGAGGTTTGGTCAACGCTTGAAGAGAGCCTGGTTAAAGAACTGGAGTTCTATAATTGGGTAAAATATCGGCTGTTTGAGCAGCGATTGAAGAGTAAGGAAAGTTCCAGTTGAATATTGTGTAATTACTAGCCGATATTTAATTATTTAATAAAGCACGTAATAAACCAGTTTTGTTTTGATTTTTTTTTCGGTAATTTACACATAATTTTATAATAAATTGTACCAGATTAAAAAAGCTGTTATGAAACGTATATACTTAATTCATTGCAATTATTCACACTCCGTCAAAGATTAAAAGCGACAATATGGGGAAAGCATATCAGACACTGTAAATTAAACGATGTTGGTTAAAGAAAAATAAACTATAGGCATTTGGTACGAATATTGGGTTCTGATTCAATCGAAAAAAAACGAATTTTCCCACAACCGACTATACTTTACCCAATATTTTCCACATTCATCCAAATGCGTATACTTTTCAACTTTCCATATTTTTCTTGTTATTTGTATGTTAGAGTCAAGATATAAATTAATCTATGTGCAATGCATCTGATTTAAGGCCCAGTTCATAGAGAAACTCCCAATTATTTTGCATATTTTCTCTGATCAGCTCTATTTCACTCGAAATAGTTAACAGAGCTGATTCTAGAAAAATATTCTGCAGTGCAAACCTTCATCGGAGCTTTTTGGCCGCATAAAATTTGCCTCCGCAATTTTTCCTAAAGCGCGTCATGAATTCTACAAGTCTATTCAAGGCAAAAATTAATTTCATATGTTTCAACCGAAAGAAATTACTAATTTGCTCACCTTATCTACTTACTAACAACTTTTCTTCTTGAAGCTTCTTGTGGAAATGCCGTTCTCGACCACTTTTCACTCATTATACTCTCAAAATAGTAAATTTTCACTACCTTTTCATAAGATGATATAAGAACAAAATACGTCGTGTCGTCCACGTTGTCTGTCGCACGGATATCACAGCGATATAATTCGAAAAATTTTGGGAATTTAATTGTACTTGAATCTATATTTTGTTTGTACTTGATTTTGATGCAATTTTTGCAGGTATTTGTTTGAGTTTGGGTTATTTTTCTTAATGTTGGTTCGAGTTGGTCAATTGCTTGATTTTTCTCCCAATTTCCCCGAAACAGGAATTTGGCAACAGATTAAAGATAATTTATATTTAAAAAATATGCTAAGAGGCACCCTTTGTTATTTTATCGAAAAGTAGTGATTTTAAGTGAGTGAAAAGTGGGCAAACATTTTCCAAGAACTTCTGAGAAACGTTGCCAGTCAGGAATTTTCTGTAAGGTGAGCATATTGTTAACTCCAAAAGCGATGGCTTGGCATACTAGAAAATGACCGCTTATAATTTTCCTTCGAATCCCAGATTTGCTTTTTACACACTTTAGCCCATCCACTTAAATTACGAGGTATAAATAGCCTACAGCAGAAATTGCAAAAAAGTAAATCAAAATATGCATTAATTAGTTTAATGAGTGGTTACTGTTATCAATCTGCTATCAATGCACGAAAAACGGGCATTTTCAAAGAAAAAAACGATTAGTTGCTGCTGCTGAACAAACCATACAAACTGCAGCGGCAAGATGAATAAATTAACATTTGATACTTGCAAAAAAGAAAATCATGTTCATGTATAGATAAGCCATAACACACATGGTTATGGGGAGTAGTGTCGATCATTTTTTCTTCGCGTCTTTCAAACCGGCGCCAGCGTTGAATTTGAAGAAAATAATGTCGCCATCCTCCACCACATAATTACGCCCTGAAAAAAATATTTTTCAAAATCGTTAGCCCTTTCAAATAAATAATTCGGTTCTGGGTTTGGGAGGAGTTTTCAAATATTTGAACCCAAAATCAGCATAATTTTACCTTGCTGTCTGTACTTTCCAGCTCCCTTACAGGCAGCTTCAGAGCCCTCTTCTTTGAAATCCTGAAATTTCATCACCTCCGCCATGATAAATCCTTTTTCAAAGTCCGTGTGAATTCTACCTGCTGCCTGTGGAGCTTTCGTCCCTTTCTGCAAGAGAATCGATTCTTTAAGTTGCGCGATGTGAACCATAGATACCGCTGGTTTAATCAAAGAGCTCCTCGCGAGCAGTAAAATTTATATAATGGAAAATATTTAAAAAAAAACGCATTAAATTTTACGGCGCAAACAAAACTTTGGTAATCAAATAAAAAATTTAATTGCGCCTATCGGGACATTCGAAAGACATACAATCACACATATACATTGACAAAAAAAAAACACATTTCTATATCCACACATCCTTAAAAGCTCGTTCAAAAATTTAAATAAATAAAATTTTCTCTGAATTGGACCAAGCTAACTTAAACAAGTCCACGAATTTGCCGCTCCCGCTACTTTTGAACGCATCGCCTATTTTCATGCAAATTTCAAAGACAATTTCCGAGTTTGGGTAATTTATTTGGCTCGCCTTGCTGGCGAATTCAATAGATTTCGGAGCCTTTTATTTCGACGGGACACAGCCAGAATATTAGAATAACTTTTAGATTATGCAGACCGAGTCGGGCGGCTTTGCGGGAAAATTAGGGAAATACTGTGAAGCTCTGGCCAGAATAACGATCAGAAAAATGCACTCTGGGCTCTAAATTGAATCGGCAGTGAGTGACTAAGCGATGCAATCCACAATTATTTATTTGAGAAACTTTATTGAAAAACTCACCTGAATAGTCCACGCTTTCACTTCGTCGGCCCCAGCAGTGAAGAAATATTCTAACTGCAAGGCTTTGTATCCTTGAACAATTATCTTATCCAGAGCACTAAAATACATTTCATATAAAACCACAATTTACATGATTTTTTAATAGTTTAATCGTTCTTTCTGGGCTCAAATTTGGCAATTATCGGAGGAAATGGTCCGTTCAGAATTAGAATCGAAAGTCCACCCATTCCGCAAAAACCATTTGGAGTTCGAAAATAATTTGCTAAATGATTGCAACCACTTTGGCGGCACCTTAACGCAAGGAAACGTTCCGAAAATTGCTCTCATTTATTGACAAATCCATGGTCAATCACGAAAACACCGTCTGTCGCCTCACTTAATCACAACTACCTTTGGAACGGCCTTTAATGACCCAAAAATACTATTTAATGGCCTTCCTAAGGTCCGCCTGTTTATGAATTGACCATTTTAATGGTCCTTTTGGTATTACTTTGATGATCGAACCCAATGGCGTAGAAAATGAGATTTTTGATTATGTTATACATTCAAAATCAGTTGCAAGGTCTGTAATTTTAAACAACCTAAGTTTAAAACTCGTGGAAACCCAAGTTTAATCGAGAAATTTTCGGTTTTTATGCTGGTTTGACTTGGATTTTTGTCTCGATAAAAGCCGAATTGCGTGTCTAAATCCGGCTGTACTTGTTACTCTTCACCGTCTTCACGCATCAAAATGACGCCACTGGATCACCCAATTTCTGATTACCATCCCGTCTAACCAAACAAAAAAGTTAATGGCAATAATTGCGGAATTTTTAATACGGTTTTTCTGAATGGTTTAACCCAATAGACTGCGAGGTCGAATTGCTTCGAAGACGAAACCCCTCATTAGAGATAACTTATACGGACTGAATGGTACGTGTTTCAAATAATGGATTTGTCATCCATTACACGAATGCTGAAGGTGGGCTTTTGCGCTCGAAACTGCCTAAATGGAATTGTGATTGGGAATCAGCCAGCAGGAAAAAGCTTATGTGCAAAATTTACCTGGGAACTCCCACTTCTTCCAGGTGCTTCTTCCGCAAAATGGGGTCATCAAATTCATCAACCAACTTATGCTCAAATGCGCCAGAAAACGGGATGATTAAAGATCCTGGATCGTTCTTGTCAACCCATTCCTTGATTTTTATCAACCTGAAATCAAGGGAAAACACTTCTGTAAGTTGCATTCGTGAAAAATATATTTAACAAAGTAGAACGCTTAAAAACGATGCAATCTAAATGATCGTAAGGAATGTAGGGTTCTCCAAAAATTAAGCTGCTTCACCAAACAGATTTTCGCCCGAAAAACCGACGTATTAAACTCGAATTTTAAGACACCATAATTGTACACAATATACCTTTGTATCGCATCCCATATGCCAGTCAAAAATCGAATGAAAAGACACAGTATTTCACGGATTGAAAATTCCTTTATCACCTACATACTAAAACCACATTTCACACATCAAAGTCGAATTAAAAAAAAACGGTTCAATATAAATGCGGTTACGACAACAACGAAAGAAGCATATTTCTTCTCAAATTTAATAACAGCTTGTCAACGGAATTTTCAATTGATCCATTTGCGGTTTGATGGTGCCCGGTTAGTCAAGGGGGTACGGAAAAAATGTTTTCCACTACAAAGGATCCATCTTCTTTACCTGTCCGATCCGATACGCCTGTCACATGTTAACAAAGTGGAATTTACTTGGTTTTCAAGGCTCTACATTTGCAAGCACGCTATAGAACAATGAAGCCCACTTGTGGTTTATACCGAAAGCTGAAGGGAAAAGTTAATAAACTTACTGTGAATTGGGGAAAAATTCTGACTAAAGCGATGACCAAGCTAATCTATATGCACATTTCTTCGTCATGTTATTGCTTTCTGCTCCGTTTAGAGCATAAGAATATAAACAGTGTGATCCAGAATTAATCACGTAATTCTGCATGTTTAAAAGTCAATGTTTTCCCGGGTCGAAATCATGTACTTAGTTGCTGTTACTTACCACTTGTTCTTCTTCTTGATGTAGTCTTTTTCGGCTAAATTCACTAAATAAATGCAAGGTTTCGATGTTAGGAAGAGGTAGCGGTTTAGAACTTCAATCTGCAAAAAAATATTGATTTCAATTAGAAAATGTGCCTGGCCGGCATTCAAAAATTACGTTTCTACAGTAAATTTTAGCTTTTGATGTTGTTCATTCCATTCATTCACGACTCGTTTTTGAAAAATTCCTTGATAGAGAGCTCAATTTGGCAAAAATAAATCAATTTATGCAAAACTCCAGTCGTTGTGTTCGGTAGGCGTTCCTGGCGACTAATTTTGATTTTAAAACGCCTTCAATTTGGCGCACATTGATCCTCCTCCTGTTACATAACAATATAGTTGATATTTGGTGATAATCTGCCAAAGCCGCTCGTTCCTTATAAAACTTAGTTTACTTCTTCGATTCAACGTTTGGGACATTAAGAAGTGTTAAGTAAAGGATAATTTACTAAAGGAACTTTAGTGATTTTGAAGCAAAGAAATGTATGCATGGCACAATTGAGCCAAACTTCTTAAACGCGCCTATATTTAGGGCCCAAGAAGGTTTTTAAACTAAACTGTATTTTCAAAAATAAGGGTAAAAAGCCTGTTCCTAGACCATTCGTTAGAGGAAACGTTGGTCTTTTAAGTCCAACGAGTGTTGATCTTATTGGCATTTTTGTAGATCTTTTGCATTTTTTTAAATTTAATTGTTGCAATTTATTTGCCATCACCTTCTGTATGTTAGTTTTTTTTTTTTAAAGCGGATTCCAGCTGGAACGCTCATTTTCATAAAAACTCGTTTGATAGGTCATCTACGTGCTGATTTACTTGCAAACTTCCTTCAATTTTGGCAATAGTTCAAGTTGGAATCAAACTTCCAGGAACAGTGAATCTCATATACGATATCCCGGCCTCAATGCTGCTAAAGAGCCCAATTTTTCATATTTTGATGAATTTATCACCACGAGTTTCAAATTTGTTTGGAATATTATGGGCGGAACCCAATGGAATAAATGAATGAAAATATATTCAAGCATTTTGATTGGAAACCTTGGAAATTTGTCTATTCTAGTGCAGCTGAAATGGACGAGAATTTTAGAAAACATGTAGAAACCCAAAATACCTTTCAGCTCAAAACGTGCTCAGTTTTTCACTGATTTCGCATATTGAAAAAAAGCTAAAAAATGAAAATCCAAACGTGCTGAATTTTGCGCCAATTGAGCATCTTCAAACATTGATAGAATGAGAACGTTGTTAATGTTCCTTGGTGGAGCAATCGACTTTGAATCTTCAATATTCATGTTTTTAATCGGACTAGTCCAAGAAGCTTTCAAATTAAAACTCCCAAAAATTTTGCTCATAATTCCTCAAAAAGTTGACGCGTGTTTAACAAATCTAGTCCCATTAACCCAAGAAGCTTTGGAATAAAAATTCTGAAACGTGCCCAGTTTTTAACCGATCTTTTCACGCAAAAACCGCTTAGGCTGTAGCCTACGCCGTTTTCTAGAAAATTCCATTACTCCCAACAATACTCAAACACCATGTCGTCTAACAAAACACTTAACAATCTGCAATTCACCATGGACTTGTTTGAGCCGTCATGGCACCCCGCCAGTTCTTCGGGCTCGCGCGAAGAGTGTCAATGTCGATAACTACGGAGATGATCACCAGGTGGTGATATTATTATGCCACATTAGCATTGTACGCAGTCATGGTGCTCTTTGTGCAGCCTTCTCTAAATGGAATCATTCATTGGATAGATAACATCGGAACTTGTATCGTTTTGTTTAATCAATGTTATTATTTATTATGTACCTGTATGAGCGAACGCCTACGTTTTGGGTACTGTCGGTTCATATTAGCATAATAATGTCGACACAACATTTTCCTCGTTAATACACTTGCAGACATGATAGTCCCGATGACTGTGCATTTTCGACATTTTTAATGGCTTGGTCAGTGTTAAAAAGCAAATTTTCTGTGGTCACCTACGTGATTTCTGACTTGGCACTTCATGAACAAATCGACAAAACCGAGTTTCACATGGGAAATCATATTTTAGACAGTCTTCTTAACGATAAGCCACGTGCGGACATTCAAATCGCTGTTTCCTCGCGGGAACAACTGCGATTTGAACTTCCAAACATTGCTTACCGTAAAGAAGGTTTAAAATACTATTTCCCATATGAACCTCAGCTTGTCCGATTAACTCAAACCGGCACCTCACAGATCGCATCCTCCTCAACGCATGGCCTTACCTCTTTAGAATCCCAGTCGCCAAATCGAATGTGCTTCTTCTCATCCACTAGAATAGTTTTCACCTTAGAGAGGGCGTCCTGCAAAAAGCATTAGTCGATTAGAACCTGTAGAATCGAAAGGTTTCTCCCTTTTGAATAAATTATATGAAACCCCCTTTGATGACACCTCCGCTCATTACCCATGAGGGTGAGATTGAAAAAAATTATAAATAAACCTGACGACGTCGGTGTTAAAGAACAATTGCATAGTCACGTTACCAGCGGAGCTCCATAATGGAATAGAAGACCACACGTGACTCATGCGCCATAATTAACATAACATTCTCCTCGATTTTATCTGATCCGTCCTTTAGCGTATCTGATTTCGGTTCGGACGAATCGCAAGTCACCATTTTCGTAATTGAATTCGACTTATTATTAGGTTGTTGTAGAACATAACGCGTGGCCGATTGTTCGCTATTTGTGTCACATTGTTCAATTGATTGATTGACCAGATATTGATTCCATTAATGCTTTTTATAGTCGGTCCATTCCGCACTCCGCTGGATACTGCTTTCAAGTCAGATTTACGTAAATCGGGGTTTCTTACGTAGTCGGGTTTCTGCTTTTTATCAGAACCGCGCAAAACGGTCCGCTCCAACTTCTCCAAATGCTTCATCAAACTGTCCTCGTCCTTTAATCTCAATTCTTCAGCGATAATGTCCAAATCGCGCACTGGGTTCACTTCTCCTTCTACATGGGTCACGTCGTCATCCTCAAATGCGCCTGAAAAATCACATATTCGTAAAAAGGAGCTTTAAGGCTTTCTATGAATACGTACGACAAAGGTGGAAAATTGCATCACAAGCGCTGATGTGCGAAAGAAAGGCATTTCCCAAACCTTGCCCTTCAGAGGCGCCCTTTACCAAACCGGCAATATCCACTATGTTGAGGAACGCGGGAACTTTGCTGCAAACAAAATCAAATTACAATTCCGACAAGATTTTTCCTATTTAAGTCTCAGAGCTGCAAGATTATTTCTCCCAATCTGACTGAATGTGAATCTGGCTATTTATCACCACTTATGCTACATAGCCACTAAATACAGTAATTTCCTATTCAATTTCCGAGCGCTAAAAATACCTACACGTCGAAGGGTCTAAAACACATAATTTCCCATTCAATTCCCTGTGTCTTCGACACGCATTTTTTTCTATCAGGCCCTTTAAAGCGTATTATTACGGTTTTGCAGGTCGTCAAGTGAAAAAACCCTCAAATCCAATATTCAATTTCACCAAATCACTGATATTAAACAGCGATTGTGCGTGAACACTTCCTATTTGTCTCATCCAACGTACAATTTAGTCGAGAAAACCGTTTTCTCAGTAGTAAAAGACCGTTTTGTGATTCGTGCGCCGCCAGAAGGTACTTTAGACGCATTGGTCTACAATTTGATCGCTAAACTGGTCCAAATGCTGGGCTATTTTCGAATAGCACTTGATGGTGGCAAATCGGTGCTAAATGGGAGAATTAGGCGGCGAACATGGAAAATTGAACTCATCCAATTATGTTACTGTTCTCTGACCTAAAGTTCAGTCTGTGAACTTTTGTTCGATTCTTTATATTTTACTTATTGGGTTTTTGTTGCAAGTAGGTGGATAACCATCCAAACTACTATAGAATTCCAACCCATATAAAAACCATTCTAGCCTAGACCGACAGATCTACTTAAATCAAACGTTTTTCATTTTTTTATTTCCATAACTTCTTGTGCTGTTCCAAATAAAATGACTAAAAGAATGCAACTAATGGCGTCAAATCAACGTTTACACCCATATTTAGAATCTAATTTCCTTTTATACACACGGTGAATTTAAAATTACGTAAGGCCGATACGATTTTTTGTAAGCTTCAGGAACGTAACAAGCTAATCTCGAGCTAATGAGGGTGACCATATCAATTTGGCGGCGCCAAACATCGGTGGGAACGCGTCTGTTACAAGTTAACATTTCCAAAATGATCATTAAATTACGAAAAAATGTATCATAAGAAAACTGGGCATTAGTGGACAATTCACTTAGTGAGGATTAGAATTGAATTGTGTGCTTCCATCTTTAATAGAATAAATGTTCCTTTTGGTTTTTCTTCTTCGGATTCATCTGATGAAATGATTGCAAGTTCCATTCCGTTTTTTGTTATAAAATTCAAAATTGCTCGATTATTTCTTCTTTTTTCAAAAAATATCGCACAAGAACTTCTTGAAAGATGCGATCATTTTAATAATTTTTTTCTTCTGGAAATAATTGATATATTTGTTGTTCTTGCTATTAAAACATAAGTTTTTAGTTATGATATTCCTATCTTTCCTGGGTTTCAAAGTGTAAAGTAAAAAGTTTTGCAACATCGCTTATTTCATTACGTTTCGGCGAGACAACAGCGCCATAATCAGATTTAAAATTTTACACAAACTCATGATTGGTAAAAATTAACGTCCCGTTAGGTCTTTGCCTTCTTGAAAAGCTTGAGTTTGTTTGAATTATTTTCTACATTTGCAAACGTAATGAAATAAACGATGTTTCAAAAATGTTTACTCCACTCTCTAAGTTTTTAGCCAATTTTAGCTGTTTCTTAGTTCAATTTATTTTCCCGTTTAACTTGATGTATGCATTGACCAATCTTACATTTTAGCCCGGAAGAAGAAAATGCACATTTTTTCCGACAAATCAGTATAAAACTCAAGAGTTTCGTCCTAAAACGTACTTACCTTAATGGCTTGAAGTATTCGCAAAGATAGTCAAATCTGTCATCCGGAACAGGAACCCTACGTAAAGAAAATTTCAATCAAATTTCATTCACCCGACAAATTAGAAGGAATTTTCACCCAAAAAAACAATCAATCCTCAACCGCCCAGACTCAATAAAGTGCCATCCTTCACCGGCCATTTGGGATGTCTTCAGTCGCAATATTCATATCTGAACTCAAGTCCAAACCCAATAAAAGAACAACATCTCACTTTAATAACCAATTCCTAAACTATTTCACTGAAAAATCTTGCGAATCCGATGTATCGAAATCATCTTGCAAATACATGTCGATATCATCGACGCATTTATCCACCAAGCGGGACATCATAGTGGAGAGGCTCTCTGCCTTGGGCGGAGCTGGAGGCAGTTGGAACTGGGGCAAAGGTTCCTCGTAATGCAAGTATGGATTCCTGTAGGTCTTCATGTAGTCCAAATACTTGAGCAGATTCTCTCTTCTTTCGCTAAACTGTGCAAGGCCAGTTTCGTAGAAGGACTTGTAAGCATTGGGAGTATCGTTCCTCACTTTTATGTAGAGTCCCACCCCGACTAGGGCAGAAGCGGCTATGGATAATCCCGGAATAATTGGACGTCTTTTTGAGATGTAGCTCAAAGCCTCGACGATATTTTTGGCTACATATTGCTCTAACATGCCTAACAGAGGCAATTCTCTATATTTTAGAGCTGGGTAAACTGGAGCGTGGAATTCGATGCCAAACATGAATAAAGACGGATTCCGCAAGAATGTGTTAAGACATTCGACACTGTCGAATAAATAGGCCTTATCGTTGAAAGCAACCGCTAAAGTCAGCTCTCCTTTCTTGATGATTCTTTTGTTCTTGTAACACACCGCACACGCACCGTCTTCGTAAATATTCTCTGGGCGCTCATCAAAGGCAGTTTTCTTGGGCAAACTTGCTGGCAACCCATGTAGGTTGTATGGGGGCAAGTATTGATCTGGGATCTTCAAAAATAACGCCACATGGTCATCGCACACCCAATAGAAGTGGCTTCTATATTGAATAAGGCCTGTTCGATCCGGAGGATCGCCTCCACTGACCAGGCTGTTGGTCAGATGAAGACAAACCGGGCAATAGGTTTTGAAATTGCTTTGGCGCTCCAGAAACTCCAAGGGAGTGATCAGCATGTTGCCCAAACGTAGCGGCCAATCATCGATGATGTGTTTATGGTAGTGACTGATTTCGGAAAATGTACTTAGAAGGTATTCTCGACTTTGAGCCCACACTGACCAATTGGACGTGGAGATTTTTATCCTGGTCAGGGCTTGGTACTCTCTGTCGAACCACTCTCTGAAGTACTCGGAATCTTGTGACCATTCTTCATACAAGTGGCTGAGAAACCCTGTACTGAACTTCGGGACATTGGTGTTAGGACTGCAGTTAGATAGGCACTCAATTGCTTCCTCTTTAGAGGCCTGTAGGTCTATGGTAATGTTTGGGGTCAAATCCAAATACGCCATGTGCTTCGCTTCGCTTAAACTGTTTGGAAAGCCATCATATACCACTCCTACTGCCACCACTCGGGGATCGAAAGTGGCAGCTTCCACTGCCTTGATTACCATTTCGTCTGTCAATTCCCAACCCTTCCTCAACACTGCCTCCATGTTCTTAGCCAAGTCGGAGTTAAATAAGTAATCCAGCACATACCTCAAGGCTTGGCCTCGAGTAACCAATTTCAGTCCAAGTTCCTGCTGGATTTTCTGCGATAATAAAGTTTTGCCACACTTTGGGGGCCCAGTTATTGCCACTTTGAAGCTGAGCAGTGGAAACCTAAACTCTTGACCAATATACTTGAGAGGATCCTTCATGAACAACCTACATTGGTGTTGTCCCATTATAAAGTACAGATAATTGCGGTGAATAACTGGGAAAAGTTTGCCTTGTTCAGCAGCCAGTTGAAACATTGGAAGCGACATGGTTTTTTCGTAATATTGCATCGGGCAAATCCTGCCAAACTTGCTCAGAAACACATAGCCGGAGTTAAGCAATCGTTCAGCCACTTCCACCGAGACCTCGTAGCAACTTTCCAGATAGGATTTGGTTCTGAACTTGAGGGGTTCGGCTGCGAGAAAGCATGCGATGGTGTTTTTATCCATGCGATCCAGATTTAGGGCTACTTCCACAACATCTATATTTTCCTGCAGGCATTTTTCCTTGATTGCTGCTATAGCTCGAGTGTCTGATGCAACGCGATGGGAAATTAGAGGCTCCATCGCGGCGACAAAAGCCTCGAGATTAGCCGCAGGTGGCTCGTAACTAATCGGAGGAAACTCTGTGTCTAGAACCTTGTTAACTTCATCAATGTCCTCTTGGTCAGCTACAGAATCGAAAGTCACCAACGATGAACTTTTCAAGTCAGGCTCATTGGGCTCGGATTCTGGAATGGGTGGTTTACTCTGGCGCTTCTTGGCGTATCTTCGGTCTCTTCTTTCCTCAATTAGGGCAGTGAAGCGCACAGATCTTTGCTCTCGCCACTTATCTAGAGCCTTGTTGTGCTTTTGCTCGCTTTCCTGGCGTTGGATTTCCATAGACTCCTGCCATATTTTCACGTTCCTCTCGAGAAATTTGACTTTGAGATATTCTTCGTCGGCATGCGGATATATAATTAGATCGGGTATTAATTTATTCTGCACCATAAAATCGACATCATAGTGCGTCTTGGGAAAGTCATCAAACACAAAACCTTTCGACTTAAAGGGCTCCGCCTGCCAGTACTGGCTCAAACCCAACTGAAGATGACTAGGCAATGAGACCTCTGCCCTCAGGTAAGACCGCAATTCTTTTATCTCAGAACCTTCAGCCAGTTGGTTCAACGTTTCTCCAGAGGAAATTTGGAAAAACTCCTTTAAAATGTGTTGGTAGTCCAAACATATCAAACCGTAGTTGTCGGATAGCGCCTTCGTTAGATGGGTTTTCCCACATCCTGATACGCCAATGACGCAAATTCTTGGTGGTGGCACTTGAGTAGGATAGCCAGAAGGCAAAAAGGAGCGTGGCTGATCAAGGAATTTTTGCATATCAAGCTCGGTAGCTAAATGATGAGTCTTTTCGTTGTACTTCACTGAAAATGCCTCTTTGCCCCTCCAAAGCACAAAGTTTTCCGACAATGTTACAGGGCAGTAGTGCAAAGTGTCTCCATATCTTCGCACTTCTTCTGCATCTAAGTCCTCCGTTTGTGTTTGGTCTGGACTAGGGGATTCTTCTACACTTTCCTGCCGGAGTGTGCGTGGTGTTTCTTCGGCACCATCATTCTCATCAGCAGCTACTCTTGAAGCTGCATAGGTATACTTTGAATCTAAACATTTGATCGCGTATTGGAAAAGCTCCGGTAAGGACTTATTAGCCACGTCAATTTCCACAGGATTGATGTTGTGCTGTATGTAGAACTCATGCACAGCCTCCCAGTCATGCAGAAAGGCCGAAATGCCTTTTTCATATTCCTCCAGCTTCGGCTCTTTTTCATTAGTGTCCTCACTGGGGTAAAATGGGCGGCTTCCTAAAACATCATCCAAGATACTCTTCACTAATCCTTCTTTACATGACTGAGTGGAGGTCAACGACGGGCTCCTCCAAGCGGCATCAGTGAGTCCCATGCTCATAAAAAACTTCCGAAAGTCTCGATAGAAAGTCGATTTTCCGTCCTGGAAATTCTTCGTCAGCCAGTTGGAGCTGTCCTTCAGGACAATTATATCATCGCCAGTATAATCAGGGAAAAAGTCTTGGATAATCTTCAAATTGCACATCATGCCATCAATAATCCATCCGCCCCTGCCAAAGCCTTGTTTTTGATATTTTTCTTCGGCTATTTTGATGTGGGCGATAAACATTTCCAGGACACTGCCGCCGCTGATTTGCAGTCCATCCAGGCCTGCTTGGCCTAAAGCCGTTGCGACGTATTCCTTTACAAAGTCATCGAACACTGTGGCTGGTTTGGGTTGGCATTTTTGGGCTAAATCCGCAGGCAGGTATTGCAAAAGCCTGCGTCGTTCGGTTAAAAACAATTTCCAAGTAGCGGCTTCTAGCTTATAAATCGGGATATTTAACTCCTGAAGTTGCTCTCGAAGTTTCAATAGCCCCACTGCATATTCGGAGTCTTCCAAGAGCTCAGTGGTGTGCACCTTCTTCATGGCCATGGGAAAGGAGGAGATTTCAAACTTTTCCTGCTTCTCCTCTTTTTCGATTTCACTCAATAGATTGCTCATTTCCTCTAGTAGGCCTATGGTTGTTTTCACCCAGTCTTTGATTTTTTCTATGCGCTCCTTCTCCAGTTCATCCGCCTCTAGTGCTCGGGTCTTGTTCAGTAAAGCTATTCCTTCAGCAATGGCTTGCTGGCGCACTTTTTCCAGATACTCGTCTTGTCGCTGTTGCATGAATTCGTGCATTAGTTGGTCTGTTGATAAGACCGACCCTCCTAAGTAATAAGCCAAGCACTGGGCTAAGGCTGATCGCCCGCTTTTCTTGGGGCCGAAAATGAAAATTCGGCATGTGGGCCTCGGGAAGGGCGGCAGCAAAAACGGTCTTGGATTGGAGTAAAATTTCGAGTAACAATCCTGGTCTGCCAGAAAGAATAACTTGCTCATGAACTGGACTGGATATTTAACTGAACCTTCGCGAACAAAGCCCATTTTCATTGAAACTGGACATTTGGAACCCCATTCGCTCCAGGACCAAAGATGCCCCCTGCTCGGGACGCGTTGTTTGCTGAATTGCTTGAAACAATCCTTAGGATTGATATTTTTCTGGTTGTCCACTTCATCCGCATCTTCCCCTGGTAAGATTTCGCCCGACGTGTAAAACCCCTGGAAATTGTCTTCGGTCAGCTTGAATGGAATCAGCACCTTTTGAACGTTCATGTTAATTAACTTGGCTTTGACTAGACTTAGCATTCTGGATATGCTAGTTCTCCCATCGACTTTGACGAAGTATTCTGGGTTATGAGCCAGAACTCTGTTTTGGATAAAGTTCAATGCTACATAATGATACTGATCCAGCTGAGAGGAAACGTTGGCTTTAAAGTCTCCTGGCATCTTCATGAGGTGTTTGAGCCTAAAGGTTTCACTGCTCAACACTGTCATATCGTAGACTTCATCGATCATATCAAGATCGTCTTGGCCAAGCAAGCGGCTTCGAAATGTGTGATTATAAGATCTTCTTTGAAGATCTATGAACGTTTTAGATGCAATATCAAAGCGGTAACTGTCTCGTTTGTTTAGAACGTCAAGGGACCCGCACTGGATGTAAATGATGAAATAGGGCTCCTCCAGCAGGCCAAATAAAAATTCCAGCTGTTTCTCATAGTTTTTGCCAATGTTGGGCTGTTCTTTGCTGGCAGCTTGGTTTGTTGCTGGTTGAGTAAACTCACTTTCCTCAGTTAAGTCCAGGTTGTGGAACTCCGTCGATTCTCTAGGCGCTTCGTCTATTTCGCTGAAATATTTTGAAGATACTGAAACCTGCGGATTGCTAGGTGCAATGCACAGGTCGGTGGTGTAAGTGAAAACTTCCTCGAAAATATCCTGAGCAGTGAATATGGCTGACTGAGAGGACACTGGGTCTTCTTCGTAGAGGTCATTGGGAATCACTGGCAATCCGCATAGGACAAATCCCCGATGTGTTGCAGCTTCTGATTTAACTTTCTGCTCAACCAGCTTCAGTATTATGTCAATGCCTATCGCTCTTCCGCACCTCAAGTTGAACTCTATGCATTCTCCTGCTCTGCTCCCTGATTGGATCTCCTCTTCAATCAAAGCCTGCGGCTGGATGTAGACGCAGTTCCAATAATTGGCCAATTCCCTGCCAAGCTCCTGCTGTCCTATATCGGGCTTTCCTAGAATTATGAACGAAACTGGCTTTGACTCCAGATATCTCAGCTGTGCCTCTCTTTCCGAATAAGCGTCGTATGTAAAAACGCGCCGCTCAGCCTCTTTTTGCCTGCTATATTCCAATATATCCGTTTGAGCGAGCAGGGAGTTTACTTTGCTCAAAGGATCAGCATCTTCTGTGTGACTATAGTAGGAGTTCACATACGCGTAAAGTTCGTCACATCTTTCCGCGATCTCGACTTCAGATTTGCTGGAGGAAAATGGGGCCTTTGTTAGATACTCGGCTTTGCTCAGAACTGTTTGGCTTATCTCAAAGTCCTCAAATTCCAGTGACTGCGGAATGTAGTAGTTGGTTTTGTTCGGTTTTATGTTGCAAGACATTATGAACGCTAAAGTGTCAGTACCTGATTTACCGGGAAAAGGACGGCTGGGACGGGACATACCTGAGTGTCTAAAGCTAGAGCTACAGCTAAAAATACTTATTTTCATTGGGATCGATGGTGCAGAAAGGGAAGTTCTCTGCCGGCGCCGAACTTTTGGTTAGTACATTGAAAAATGTAGACTTTCCAACGTTCGGTACTCCGACGATGCCCACTTTCAGATTGGTACCAACACGTCCAATCATCGGCTTCCGCTCCGGTTCTTGAACTTTTTTTGGCGGCATCCTGAAATAAAAAAAAGAAAATTAATGTATTACGAAAATAATAAACAATCCTAAAATCTATCTGCATTGTTTGAGTAGCGCTATTCATATATAAAAGCCGAGCACTAGAACAGTGTTCCTGAAAGCAGCGGCGCCAGCTTTATTTTCAGTCAAAATTTCACATTTTGACTGAAACTGAAAGAAAAAATATAATAGATTTTATAATATTGATAGCGTAATTTAAAATTTTCTTTTAAAACATATTTCAAAAGAATAAAATTGGTAAGCAAAACAAACAACACATTGCAAAGCTTGCGCAATCTACCGAAATTTTGCTTCGTATAAAATTTGCGGTTACTTGTTAAATTGTGCTCCTCAAAGCTTCAAAGCAATAACAACGCCACCAGAGCATTAATTTTATCTTTCTTGGGAAGACTTTGAATCGTCCGTGAATCGGCCAATTATTCCATATAATAAACGCGCGAAATCAATGAGGCGTTATAAATTACAAATACATTTTAATGGATAGTAAATATTTGCGCGTAAAGTGAAAGTGCAAGTGTTCTTTAGAAATATTGACTTAAAAGTGAAAAAACCCCAGTTTCAAAGAGTTCTCCAAATAAATTATTATAAACTTTCGCTTTTTCAGTTCGGGGAAATATTTCTCGAAAAATATCCAGAAATAATTATTACAGTTTTGTCCATAATTTGAAGCTGCAAAAAGTTTTCCAAAAATGTTTGCAAAGCGGTCAAGGAGGCGAGGGTTCCAATAAAATGTATCTTACAATTTTGCACAGAAAATACTTGAAGATTATCAGTATTTTAAGTAAAACTAAAAAATAATGCGACTTTTGCGTAGAAAGAATGGGCAAAACAAAGAGCGATGGGCGGCGAATTTCCCAAATAGTTTGTTGTAAACTTTTGCTTTCTAGTCGTGTTTCAAGACAATCCTAATTACTTTCAGTACAAAACTGAATAAAATCATTTGATTTTTGTGCCAAATTCGAAGCTAAAATGGGTTTCCTAAAGTTCCCTGCAAACCTAGGAATGAAGCGAATTTTCAAGCAAAATTAATTTTGCTTATCGTCAGAACTTTTAAGTGAAACTCTCCAAAATAGAGCGTTTTTGAGTAGAAAGTAAAGGAAAAAAATCAGTCAAAACTAAAAAACCACATTTTTTAATAAACTCTACAGTCTTTAGGATGTGATTTATAAACTTTCGTTTTTTGATAGAAAATTATTTGATTTTTGTATTTTTGTTCCAAACTCGAAGCTGGAAAGGGATTTCAAAACTTTTTACAAAGGGACGAAGGATTCGAAATTTATTTCCAAATTTTTCACGGAAAATACCTTAAGATTGTCAGCATTTTTAAGTCAAACTTTAGAAAATTGAACATTTAGACGAAAGAGTAACTTGTCTGAAACTGGAAAATTTTGAAATTTTGAAGAAATTTTAAAATATTATTAATAAATGGCTCTTAAAATAAATCTGAAAACAAGTAAAAAGTCATAAACATTTTCCCAGCAACAGAACGGTTAATGCGTCGGTGGTTTGGGTTGGCGCACCCAGCCATTTGCGTAGCACTGCGCCAACCCCTAAAATTCACTGAGTTACCCAGGCCTAAGCCAATATCAGTTAAAAAACGAAACATTATTTCCTCATAGTCGATCAAGTATCTCAACTCAAAAGTCTCAGAACCAGTTTTTTGACCCGCTTTTATAATGTGGATAATTCAGTTTTCGTATTTAAAATAATCAATAAATATACTTGGCTCATTTTTTTATCTAAAATTTGTGCGTTTTTGTAGAAAACTCAACATTAGCTTATTTTAAAATCAACATAAAATTTAATTGTTCAATTGCTTTCTTATCCACCCCGATTTTTTTTGAGACATATAAACATAAATTTGCCACTCAAAGAAAAATAACTCTTTTTTAATCGTCCGATAAAAAAAGTAAAAGAAACGTAATGCCAATTAGGTGTAATAATTTTTAAAATTTAGACTGCCATAAATATGGCGGCTGTAAAACCGCAACGGAAAAATAGAGCAAAAACGGGTGAATTTATGCAAAATACTCCTGGAACGAAAACTTCTGGCGCACAGTCGCGATAATAACATATAAGTATTTCAGTCTGCAACTTAATTTCCACAAAATATAGCCATTTTCAATCTGATAGCAGAATTGTACAGTGCGCTTTTTCAGCAGGTTGGCCGCTTAAAAACGCACCTAATAACCAACTGGGAGAGCGGCAAAACCGGCAATTTCGAATTTGCCAGTAATTCCCCAGCTTTTTATTAATATAATTTGGCCAGCTACTGCCCCTAGGCAGCGCACAGCAAACATATATTTTCGAAATTTACCGATTTAATCAATAAAATTAAGCTCGGTTCCAGAACATTCGGCCATTGGCACCCAATGCTACTCGCCTACGCCAATGGTCAAGACAGTGAAAGGCTTTTCATTTAATACAGTATAGATGTCGCTATACTGCAGCTTAGCTAGAAATACATTTTCAGCTCTCTTGTGCTCAGATTTCCAATATTGAAAAGTCCTAACCTAATCAAAGACTTGTAAAACTGTGTTTAAGGATTTCGGTTAAAGAAATTCTAGTGAAGCTTCTCAAGCTTCATTGCTAATGAAGTTTGCACTGAATTTTGACCAGCTACGAAACATTTGGAAACTTTAAGCGGGTGCCTGGGAGGCCCCACTTTGACAAAGTGATATTTTTCATGCAGTTTCAGTCACTTACTTAATTGCAGATTATTAAATGAGTTGCAGAAGCACTGTTTTCACCGGCAAAACCTCCTCACAACACACTCAAAACAACACACGGTTAATAAGTTTGGTTAGGACGAACATGGAACTTGTCGTTTGACTGACAGCAGGCAAGCGCAAGTCTATTTTTGGTTGGGGTCTTTGCTAACTGAGACAGAGAGCGATTTTACCGAGGCTGCGGCCCGCAAAATTTTAAATAGTTTCGCCCGCTTTAGTTTTCAGTTTTCAATAGTCAGGATCTTTGATGAATCGATAGAAGTACGCCTTAAATGCCCACAGTTTTCCTAACGACAGTGTTAAATTTTAGAGGCAAAACCCTCTATACTTAATACATGTTTTGTGGTACAAAAGTTGTTTTCAGATTAACACAAAAATATATTTGCTCATGATTTTTTCCTAAACTAATAAAAAATTTTAAGTTCCTGTTCAATTTGGAATCGAAATGTCTTAGAAAATGCCATGAAATGAAAAATTTTAACATATTTATTCAAATGCTAATCTCTTACTCCAATAAGTGTGAAACCCCCAGAAAATGTTTGCAGTGTGTTGCAAAATTTCACGCGATTTTGCCATTTTAATCGGATTTGTGCTTTTGACTAAAACATTAAAATTTTGGTAGATTGAAAATTAGGCCTCACCGGAAGTCGTAGTGCAAATGATACATCGACTTATTAACCACCCTGTATGCTTAGTGTTACCATAACAACACCTACTTGTTATTGAAATTATTTGAATTATCATTCTCATGTCAAACTGACTGTTCCAAACACTCACGTTAGAAGCAATATTTTTCACCTATTGAGGTGTTCAGTTTAATTTTGCCTGTGCCTTCATTGATTAGACTGGCTGTCCGTAAGTATTTCTAGAACTTTTCTAAGTTTTCTAATTTGTCTTCACTTCCAACATCTAATATTCCCCGCTGACAGTTTGGCCGAAGAAACGCTTAAGGAGCTAAAGAAGCAGAAGTTAAGATCTGGACCTTTTCCATTTGCTTCCTGTCGGCAACTTGTCTCAAATATCTTTATTATTTATTGCAATTGATGACAGCGGCCTGACAAAGGTTTGCTGGAAGCTTTTGTGCACTTGTAACGTAATATCGATGGGTTATTAGTTGGAATTGTATCGGACTCGAATGGCACAGTTGCAATTTCCGGAAGTGAGAACTTTTGTGGCGAACGGCGCTTTTGTGCCCACTTACAAATGCGGTTTTGCAAAGAAAAAAAAAGGGGGCTCGAAGACGGATGTGCATTTTTACTTTGATGTCATCATTTTGGTAAATTAAGTCGCTGAAATTTCGTAATTATTGAATTGACGGTTTTACTGCGTAGGTAAAACACTTTTTGGGGGTTTTATAACAAATTAGCATTTTTTGGTTTTTCCTTACTTCTTATCCTGGAAATGCCAATTTGTTGACAATTTTGGTTTTTCAAGTAAATCATTTGAGCGTCATAAACCGATGGAGAAAAGTTAATAAAGACAAACCTTGTTTATTAAACGTAGGGCATTAACACATATCTACTTTCAACTGGATCCCAGTATAAAGAGTGAGTCAGTTTACCTATAGAAAAAATACGTTTTTGGCATTCGATAAATGGATTTATTTTAAGTTAAGTTTGTCATATAATCTTTATTCTTATTCTGTCCACACAGCTTCTATGGTTTTTAACAATTTCTACGGCTGAATTTTGATAGTCCGCAAGTGTTGGCAAACGAAAACGATTTGAAAACTTGCCTGGCAGCGTTTTTTGACCAAAAATCGACTTTTAACGTGCATGTGTGTTTTTAGAGCTCAGTGTCTATTTTGCGGTTAAAAAAGTTTTTCAATCTGCACTCTGACATACACACAACAGAGTTTTCGAGAAAATATCGTTGGTTGACAAACATTTCGAATTTGAAACTTCTACCGTGTTTTTCAATGAGCGCCTTGCATCACTCGCTTCTTTTTGATTAAAATGACACAGAGTTCTAGCCATTTTAAGAAACTTGAAAATTTTCGAAAAAATCATCGACCCCCACCCTTATGAAATTTTCGGTCAGAAATCAAAGTTTCACATTCTTGTTTTTTGCCCTTATTGGATTGTTTCCAACCTAAGAAGCTGCCCAATATCGAATATGAAGGTCGTGGGTCGACAATAAGAAAGGTATTGTCGATTGACGTTTGGCACTGATCAAAAATCGCTTAAAATTTACCAAAAATGTAATTTTTTTTGAATTTGAAACTTCTACCGTGTTTTTAAATAAGCGCCCTGTATTACTCGCTTCTTTTTAATTAAAATGACGCAGAGTTCGAGCAATTTTAAGAAACTTGGAAATTTTCGGTCAAAAATCAAAATTTCACATTCGTGTTTTTTGAGTTCGGTAGATTCCTTCCGGTCTAAGAAGCCCCCCAATATGTGTTTATATGATGTTTGAGATTGTAATAAGAAAGATATCGTCGGTTGAAGTTTGTCACTGATCAAAAATCGCTTAAAATTTACTAAAAATGTTAATTTTTCGAATTCGAAACTTCTACTGTGTTTTTCAATGAGCGCCTTGCGTTACTCGCTTCTTTTTTTTATTAATATCACATAGGGTTCGAGGCATTTTAAGAAACTTGGCCGTTTTCGAAAAAATTGACCTCCATACCTTATAAAATTTTGGGCCAAAAATCAAAATTTCACATTCGTGTTTTTTGAGCTCAATTTAAAGCTTCTACAGGTATGTCTAAACGTGCGGTGTCTAGTTCAGGCACTCATTTTAGGTAGGTACTAAAAATTTATGATTTAAACTTTAATTTTCAACCACCCTGTGGTAAAAAATGAAAAAAATACATTTTTGTTGAAGCATGTTCAAGCCAATTAGACATTCACCCGCCTCACATAATCGTCTAAGATTAGACGCAATTATGTTCTATAATCCGATTCTACGAATAAATGTTTTAATTTTATATCATCTAAGCTCTAATGGCGGCTTGGTTCTAACCAATGTTGTAATTAACATATAATAAATGCGGAATAAATTGCTACTGGAATGCATTTTTCTTTCGTAACATGCAAAGCCATTCGCATTAAAATGCAGAGTTTCCTTGAAATTATATCGTTTCAATAGGCTGGCTATTTTCCAAATATTTTATAAAATCAGAAATCATTGGTTACGAACATCGGTGATTATTTAATGATAATGTAGACAGCCAGGTCGCGATGGCCAGCCTAAATAAATTATTCCGTATTTTATACATCCTTCCACTCAAATGGTCAAATTAATAAATACATAATGATAGGATGAAAATACTGTTGAAAGCTGAAAATCTAGTTTAAGGCGCGTAGAAGATGCAAAACTGCGACTATTCACAAATCGCCATACAGACTGTCAGTTAGCACCTAAGGATGTACGGAAAGTTGCCCTCTAGAGGACTTCATAGTCAATAATTTGATTTGAAACATTTTGAGGAGTTTTCTGGGCTTTTATAGGGTTTGAAGGAAGAACAGACAATTAGTCGCCTACAGTCTATGCGAGAAGCAAATTAAAAATATTTATATACAGAACAGGAACTAACCCCCTGCTAGGCCCCCTGATCGGGGGGCTGTTTTGAAAAACAAGCACGCGTGTCCTGATATAGTATAGGGTGAATGGGTGGGCCGGACGAAATTTTCCTAATGTATTTATAGATATAAAATAACAGAAATGAGGCCTTTGTGTAGTTCCTGAATGTTGAACCCTGCAACGCCCCCCCAGCTGTAAATATGCGACTTTTGTTATACGCTCCCATGCGCTAGTTAGTAAAAAGGCGGGGTTAAGGTGTCGCGTTTGTGACCCGTGCGGCACAAAGCACAGGAAAACCAAAAAAAATGAGTTCTACGTTTTTTGGTTTCTTCAATTCCTAATCTTCTTTGCTCGTTGGCATAATTTTCACAGACCGTTTAGTAATGTGGCTTTTCCATAAACACCAGCTACGGAACGTGTAATCGCGATTTTTAATTTTGCATTTCACATGCAAACGGCGGTTACAGACTGGCTAAATGACTAGTTGATTTTCGAAAAATATTTTTAAAGCCCTAATTATCCACTATTATGTGCCTGGATCACGCTACATTTTTCATCTGATTCAACTTTTCTAGACGGCTGAAAAGTTACATTTATAATAAGTTCCGGCAATTGTAAAATCTGGGGGCGTTTTATGGTGGTAATTTTGATTTCTGCCAACAACAACTAACGAGCGAACAAAATACATAATGAATGAATTATTTACCTCTTTAACTCTAAGGGTGTTTTGGGGCTCTCTTGTTAGGCACATGTTAATGGGCGCCCAATTTTGAAAAACTGTCCTCATACCGCCATACTTTTCCTTGCGTATTAATTACCTCCTTAGACTTGTCGTCTTAAGTTTAACTGTATCTGTTACTTTTCTCCAATGGTTTAGACACGCCCTATTTGAAAATTTGGCGAGTATTTAAAATGCCCACCCACATCGGAGCAGGATTATCAATTATATTTGCATTAGTTCCACAGATAAGATTTATGTTTATTTTAACGTAATAAAGCCGACAAGAGCACGTCCTTTATACATTTTTTGTTAATTTGCCGTTTAAAGATGAGAAGAATGCCTGCTAATTGGAGTGCGTTTAGTGTTTCCTCCTTATCGAGAATTAATTGATTTTTTTTCTGCCGTTCAAGGGTTTGCCTTTAGTTAAAATGATACAATCAAATTTGTCTTCTTGTGCTTCTGCCGATTAATTTTTGCCAGGAGAATTGCATTGAACACCATTTTTTACTCTTTAATTACACTCTGAATTATGACTTTGAATTCTGAATTGGTTCAATGGCAATAATTGATTTCACTAGAAAAATATGAATAGAAGACAGAAGAACCTGTTTAGAATCGAAACTACAGTTATTATATGAATTATGAATATGAAATATGAAGTAATGCATTTTATCGACTTGATTGAACTGACTCTGTATAAATAAAATTTTAGGTCTAATTTTATTCTACAGTGTGATTTAAATTCTAACTGGAAAAACTGAAAAGGTGGTAGAACGCACCGAAAAAAATATAAAGCTAGAAGAAAAATAGAATTAGATGTAAGAATATATTTTTGCATATGTTGAATTTTTCTTTCGCTTTTCCGTTCTAAGTT